AAGCTCTTTTGGGCTGTATAACAGCCCTCCTGGGCCGTCCCGGGACCCTCTTGGGCCGTCCTGGGGGGCTTAGGCCGTCTTGGGGCCCTCTTGGTTCTTCTTGGGGGCCTCCTGCGGCCTTCTTGGGGCTCTCTGGGGAGCCTTTCGGTGCTTTTTGGGGCCATATTGGGGCTCTCTTGGGTCGTTTTGGAGCCCTTTTGGGCTGTCTTGGGGCTTCCTTGGGGACTTCTTGGGCCGTCCTGGGGCGATCTTGGGGGCCTCTTGGGCCGTCTTGGGCGCGATGAAGGCCAAAGAAGCGGATATGCGAAAAAAATACACGAAGGGAATGGGACGATTTTGACCTCTTAGGGGTCTTCTTGAGGGCCTCTTGGGGCGTCTTCTTGCGCCGTCTTGAACGCACCTTGAGGCCTCTTTAAGCGCTCATGAGCCATTCTGGAGCGGTCTTGGGCCGCCTTGGGGCTTTGCGGGACCGTCCAGGGATGGCCGGGAGAGGCTCCCGAAACCGAAATTCGAACTTGACGTCGGTGGGAGCGCCCAGGGCCGAATTTATGTACGGGGGGGTAAGGGGGGTCTTCCGCTATAAGAATATACGAATAAGGATGTGTATACAATGTCTTGCAATGTAACGTAATAAAAAAGAATGGACTACACGGTAGTACAATATTACCTTATCGTATTAATTATGATACTATTGAATAGACTATAATCTGATATAATAGAATATGATATAATGTAATAAAACATATCACAACATAACATACTATAATACGATATGGTGATATGTACAATACTATGATGCAATATAATATAATATGGCATAACATAGTATAATATCACATGTTATACCATATGTTCATGTATCAAAACGTAATATTATATAATACAGTATAATATAATGCAATAGAATATCATGTATAACATTAACATGTACTAGAGCTGTATAGCATAGAATCTGATATGATATACTACAAAGTCGTACAACATGATATAATAGAGTTACATTAGAATATAATATAATGAAATACATGACAGTAAAATAAAACATAATACAATATACTATGAAATGAAATGATCGAATACAAAGAAATAAAAGAAAACAAGCTATAGTACAATGCAATGCAATATTTACTACAATATATGATAATCATATATAATTTAACAATGTTGAATAGCATATAACGTCATATAGTATAGCATACTATGAACATAATGAGATACAATATAGCAGAATGTAATCTGATATAATATGATATGATATAACATAAGATACTAGTATATGATGTGCTAAACTATAATAGAATAAAATGTAATGTACCACACTGAAAAATGATACGATGCACTAAAATATAATATGATATGAAATAATATAATACACTACCATATAATGCACTAAAACCTACAATGCATTATAATATAGTATGATGGAGTATGATATGAAAGTTTATAGCAGAATAGAGTAGAATATAATGAATTGTAATAGAACTTACTATGAAATAATGAGATATACTATCCTATAATATAATATAAAGTAATATAACACCTTATACTACGCAATACAGGTATATGGCATAGCATATTGAAAAACGAAACAGCAACTTAAAATATACTATATACTGTATATCATACACTATATGCTATATCAGAGTATAGTATATATGGTACAACGTGGTATAGTCTGATGGACATACGTTAACAAAACAACTAGTACGATGGAACACCAGATGATAAAGCCATAAGATGATACAACATAGCATACTACCATATCACATTTTAATGTATACATGTATATGTATATATGTGTGTGGTTGTGTGTATGTATGTATCTATACACATATATGTATGTATGTATATATGTAGTGTTCAACAACAATCAAGTCAACAGTCAAAAAGTCGTCCCCATATCATATGTTGACTATGTTGGAACATCCCTCTATTTTGGAACTCCGCCTCCTCCTCCTGCGCCTCCTCCGTCTCCTCCGACTCCTCCTCCTCCTCCTCCTGCTCCTCCTCCTACTCCTCCTTCTCCTCCTCCTCCCCCTGCTCCTCCTCCTCCTCCTCCTCCTCCTCCTCCCTCCTCATCCTCCTCATCTCTCTCCTCCATCTCTACATCTCCCCATCTCCTATCTCTCCATCTCCTACTCTCCTCATTCCCCCCTCCTCCTCCCAAATCTCCTCCCCTACCTCCCTCTCCTCTCTCCTCCCCCTCCTCCTCCTGCCTCCTCCTCCTCTCTCCCCTCTCCTCCTCCTCTCCTTCTCCTCCATCTCCTCCATCCTCCGTCTCCTCCGTCTCTCCATCCTCCTCATCTCTCCATCTCCTCCATCTCCTCTCCCTCCATCTCCTCCATCTCTCCATCTCCTCATCTCCTCCATCTCCTCCTCCTCCGCCTCTTCTCATCTTCCAGCTCCTTCCTCCTCCCTCTCTCCTCCGCCTCTCCCTCCTCCTCTCTCCTCCTTCCTCCTCCTCCTCCTCCCATCCTCCTCTCTCCTCCTCTCCTCCTCTTCCTCTCTCCTCCTCCTCTCCTCCTCCTCCTCCTCCTCTCCTCTCTTCCTCCTCCTCCTCCTCCTCCTCTCTCCTCCTCCTCCTCCTCCTCCCATACCCCCCCCCGCTCCTCCTCCGGACTCCGCACCCTCATTCTCCCCATCTTCGCGAAGAGCCCTGGTCGCCCTCGAGCCTCTTCCCTTCCCCCACGGGCCCTCCCAGAGCCCGCGCACCCCCGCTTCCCCCGGAGGGAACCAAAGAGACATACTAGTACTATGTGTCCCCCTTGGAGGCGCGCGTGTCCGACCCGAACATCTAGTATACCCATATTGTGGTACATCGTTTCCCGAGCGGTGTGGCCAGGAACGCATGTACCAGAAGATTTCTCGGTGCGCGCATCGCCCCTGGGGGGGCGTCGCACATATAGCATAAGTAGGTTGGGGTGACGCGGACCCCAGACATCCCAGGGTGCGTTCGGAAGCGGTGGCGACGAGGGCCTCCCAGAGGGCCCACGAAGGCGAGGCGAGGGAACGGGCAGCGGCATCGTTACCTCTTCCTCCTCTGAACCTCCTCCGCCCTGTTTCGCCCCCTCGGCCGCGGGAGAACGAAGTGCCCGCGGATGATGCTGGCGACCTCGCGGCGGCGGCGGAGGGTGGGCCGTTTTTGTGCGTGCTGTTGGCCTGGGGTGGGGGCCGCCGCGGAGGGCGTGCGCCTTGCAGGGATGCGGAAGGGAGGGGGGAGAGGAGGGAGGGAGGGACGAAGAGGAGGCAGGGAGGAGGGGAGTTCAGGCGAGGGAGGGAGGGAGGAGGGAGGAGGGAGGGAGGAGGCATGGAGGCAGGGAGGGAGGAAGCAGGGAGGAGGAAGCAAGAGGAGGCAGGGATGAGGGAGGGGGGCGGATGTGGGCGTCAAGGGAAGAGGGAGGAGGAAGAGGGGGATCGGATCGGAGGAGGAGGAGGAGGAGGAGGAGGAGGGGGAGGAGGAGGAGGAGGAGGAGGGGGAGGAGGAGAAGGAGGAGGAGGAAGAGGGAGAGGAGGAGGAGGAGAGGGGAGAAGAAAAGAGGAGGGGGAGGAGAACTAACGAACGAACGATCGAACGAGCGAGGGACTCTGCGGAGGCGTGTTGGCCGGGCCCGCTGGGCCAACCCGTCGCGCTGGCGGATGATGTCACAACCGCAGGCCGGTTTCGCTTCCTGCGGGCGTGTTGGCCGGGCCCGCTGGGCCAGCCCGTCGCGCTGGCGGATGATGTCACAACCGCAGGCCGGTTTCGCTTCCTGAGAGCGCCATGGCCAGGGAAACTCGAGACCGCGTGTGGCTCTACAGCACTACAGTTAGGTCGGGCATGTCCCCCTACAGGCGGATTGTGGACAAAATATCGAAAACCAAAAAAAACAAAAACAAAAAAAACAAAAAAAAAAAAACAACAACAACAACAACAACAACAACAACAACAACAACAACGACGACGACGACGACGACGACAACAACAACAACAACAACAACAACAACAACAACAACAACAACAACAACAACAACAACAACAACAGCAGCAGCAGCAGCAGCGCAGCAGCAACAACAACAACAACAACAACAACAACAATCACTTTACCCGAACGCTCAGTGTTCTCACCAGTGCCAGGGTTTTCATGCGACGCCAGCCAATACCCCCACTTTGTGGGGGGGCAGTGCAAGCTCTACCAAATATCCACACGACTCTTCGCCACCACCCACACCCAGCTTCCCGCCCTATGACGTTCGGACACTTCACTTCGTGGCCTGCGGACGACCGTGGCTACTACACTGGCGTGGAGTACACACCCACAGAAGTTGTTAGGACAGCGCGCGCGGGTAGAAATTTTGAAAAGTCGTGCAGGTGTTTTTCGAGGACCTACGGTGCGATTCGTGTGATTTTATGATGCGCGGTGCTAAAATTCTTAAGAAGCCCAATGGTTTTTGGAGATTTCGGCGTGCGCGCGCGAAGAAAAAACGAATGTGTCCCGCATGGTATTATTTGACAGGGATGATGGCCCTGGCAGGTGCGCAACCGTTGTCGCAGAAGTTCGAAAAAGTTGCTCGCAAAAGCCCGTTTGACAGAAATGTTTAAAAAGTGTTGGGTTTCCTACGAATCCGCAAGAGCGCGCGGGATGAGATTTTGACATTTTTTTGTTGAAAAACCATTGGTTTTTTGATGTTTTTATGTTAAAATCGCTCCGAACACTAAGCTTTTGGAAGGATTTCGTCTTGCGCGCGCGAATGTCCACTTTACCTTATTTTTTGCAAGGGATTCTTGAAATTTGATTATATTAGAACAAGAAATGTCATTTTATAGTGTTTTTTGCAAGGGAAAACGGATTACAACAAAACAACCGGATCTTGATCACCTCGAATTACCTGAGGCTTCCTCACGAAAATGATGAAAACGTGGCTGCGGCCTAGGCGCGGCGGGGGGGGCGCGCACCAGGGGGCCCAACAATAATTATTCTTTAGAATTAATAATGTTCAAGTACTAGCACGTGGGGACACACCGTTCTGACCAGTGCCAGGGTTTTCATGGGACGCCGGCCAATACCCCCACTTTGTGGGGGGGCAGTTCAAGCTCTCCCAAATTTCCAAACGACTCTTCGCGACCACCCACACCCAGCTTCCCGCCCTATGACGTTCGGACACTTCACTTCGTGGCATGCGGACGACCTTGGCTACTACACTGGCGCATGGGTACAGTGACTTGTTGTGGTAACATTTTCTGGACGCTAGCTTAGTATACGACTTTTCCCACTTTTCAAACACTCGACACCTGTACTGGTTTTTGGTGGTAACATGTTTCTGACGCTAGAATAGGAAATCACTGTATACCAGTACGACGCCGGTACTGTCTGTCGGGCCTACAATGATATTGACTGCTATGGTTGGTGAGGCGCTAGCGTCTGAGGCGAAGCCCCGTTTGATAGGAATGTTGAAAAACCATTGGTTTCGGAAGGATTCAGCATGCGCGCGGGGGCAGATTTTCGGAATTTGAGGATGAGAAAGTGGTGTGTTTTCATATGTTTTCTTGACATCGCATCTTGAAATTGTTGAAATCACAGTGTGTTTGGCAGGATTTCGAGGTGCGCGCGCGGCGGCCGCGCGCATGTGCCCCGCGTGTCATTTTTTGCAAGGGATGGTGGCCCTCGCAGGCGCGCAGACGTTGTTGAAGCAGTTCGAGGTGAGCGCAAAAGTTGCCCTCGAAGCCCCGTTTGATAGGAATGTTGAAAAACCATTGGTTTTGGAAGGATTCAGCATGCGCGCGGGGGCAGATTTTCAGAATTTGTTGATGAGAAAGTGGTGTGTTTTCATATGTTTCCTTGACATCGCATCTTGAAATTGTTGAAACCACCATGTGTTTGGAAGGATTTCGACATGCGCGCGCGGCGGCCGCGGCGATGTGCACTTCGTGTCATTTTTTGCAATGGATTCTTGAAATGTGGTTATGTTAGAACAAGAAATGTCATTTTATATTGTTTTTTGCAAGGGAAAGCGGGGGGGAACAAAACAACCGGATCTGGATCACATCGTTTTGTCAAGGGCTTTCGCTCGAAAATGATGAAAACAAGGCTGCGGCCTAGATAAAACGGGGGGGTCGCGCACCAGGGGTCCCAACAATAATATTTCTTTAGAAGCGATAACATTCAACAACAACAACAACAACAACAATTACTAGCACGTGGGGACACACCGTTCTCACCAGTGCCAGGGTTTTCATAGGAGGCGGGCAATACCCCCACTTTGTGGGGGGGCCGGTTCAAGCTCTACCAAATTTCCAAACGACTCTTCGCCACCACCCACACCCAGCTTCCCGCCCTATGACGTTCGGACACTTCACTTCGTGGCATGCGGACGACCGTGGCTACTATTCAGGGCCCCGCGGCCGACGACGACGGCGTGCGCGCGCGAAGAAAAAACGAATGTGTCCCGCATGGTATTATTTGACAGGGATGATGGCCCTGGCAGGTGCGCAACCGTTGTTGCAGAAGTTCGAAAAAGTTGCTCGCACAAGCCCGTTTGACAGAAATGATTAAAAAGTGTTGGGTTTCCTACGAATCCGCAAGAGCGCGCGGGATGAAATGTTGACAATTTTTTGTTTGAAAAACCATTGGTTTTTTGATGATTTTATGTTAAAATCGCTACGAAAACTAAGGTTAGAACAAGAAATGTCCACTTTAGCTTATTTTTGGCAAGGGAAAACCGATCGTAACAACACAACCGGATCCGGACCAACCCGTTTTGCCTGAGACTTCCTCACGAAAATGATGAAAATGAGGCTGCGGCCTAGGCGCGGCGGGGGGGTCGTGCACCAGTGGTCCCAACAATAATTATTCTTTAGAAGTAATAATGTTCAACAACAACAACAACAACAATTACTAGCACGTGGGGACACTCCGTTCTCACCAGTGCCAGGGTTTTCATACGACGCCCGCCAATACCCCCACTTTGTGGGGGGGCCGGTTCAAGCTCTACCACATTTCCAAACGACTCTTCGCCACCACCCACACCCAGCTTCCCGCCCTATGACGTTCGGACACTTCACTTCGTGGCCTGCGGACGACCGTGGCTACTACACTGGCGCATGGGTACATTGACTTGTTGTGGTAACATTTTCTGGACGCTGTTTTTCGAGGACCTACGGTGCGATTCGTATGATTTTATGTTGAGCGGTGCTAAAATTCTAAGAAACCCAATGGTTTTTGGAAATTTCGGCGTGCGCGCGCGAAGAAAAAACGAATGTGTCCCGCATGGTATTATTTGACAGGGATGATGGCCCTGGCAGGTGCGCAACCGTTGTTGGAGAAGTTCGAAGCACGTGAAAAAGTTGCTCGCAAAAGCCCGTTTGACAGAAATGTTTAAAAAGTGTTGGGTTTCCTACAAATCCGCAAGAGCGCGCGGGATGAAATGTTGACACTTTTTTTTTGAAAAACCATTGGTTTTTTGATGTTTTTATGTTAAAATCGCTACGAACACTAAGGTTTTGGAAGGATTTCGTCTTGCGCG